GGGGAGGACCAGGGAGGATGATTCAACCACTAGATGTCGCTGAAAACAACTAATCCTACACACTGTGCCTTTAAGTATTTGCATTTCTTATATTATTGCATTTGGCCCGCGGCCCTCAGATTGATTTTAATTTTGGCCCTCTCAGTGAAAATGTTTAATTTTTAATTTTGGCCCTCTCAGTGAAAATGTTTAATTTTTAATTTTGGCCCTCTCAGTGAAAATGTTTAATTTTGGCCCTCTCAGTGAAAATGTTTAATTTTGGCCCTCTCAGTGAAAATGTTTAATTTTTAATTTTGGCCCTCTCAGTGAAAATGTTTTTTAATTTTGGCCCTATCAGAGAAAATGTTTGGGCACCCCTGGTTTAAAACATTAATGTTTGAAAAACTTAAAAGATAGTAAGGTCAGAATATAGAAGACTGTTTTAAATCTGAGCCGAATCTTTTTGTGATATTCTTTGTTTCATGAAAGCAGGAAGAAATTCCTTTTAGCCTTCTTTGTAAGAATGCATTACTATCCAAATCCTCGTAGTCTTAAAACTTTATTTGATTTGGCCATTTTTGGAACTCAATTTCTCTTGCTTTATAATATATCTGGTAGGATTTAGGGATTTTCCTGTCCTCACTGCAGTAAATTCTCCACAATTTAGCATATTCAGACTTGTCCAGTGTGCACTTAACTTAAATGTGAACCAGTTCAGTTAGTCTTTACTTGATCAGATGTAGTTATTAGGGCTGCAYCTAATGATTATTKTGATAGTTGAATTATCTGTTGATTATTTGTAGATAAACTGATTAGTTAATGAGTCACTGTTATTACTGTCACAATGTCCATCTATGCTTCCCCTGGGCATCAGCTGCTCATACCTGAGGTTACCCTGTTGTCTTTCTCATTAACATAACAAGTTCCCATAGATAATTAAAATAATGACCCATAATACTTAAGCTTAATGGTTTAATCATGAAAATTTCTAACATCAATACGTTAGAATGTTTTTAAATAAAAAATTTAATTAAATGCAAATTAAACTGTAAGTAGTTTTTTAATCTTTCTGAAATGTACTCATCTTGAGAGGATGTGAAAAGCTGTAGCATGTTAGCRTTTTGTTTTCACTGCTGCTGTGCTGCCATGGAGTGACTGAGTCTGCATTTTACTTTTTTTGGGTTTAGTTTTAGTAAAATGCAGCCCACTTTTGAAAGTTTAAATGTTGTTTTTTTAGCCTCTTCAACAYGATCCTTTTTCTATTCCGTCATTATTATTGCTCTTTGGTGTTTCCAGCAGTTTGTCTTTCATTGCTGATKCAAATGAACATTTACCTATTTGAATAATAAGGATATTCATTAATCTAATTCTGTGTCGACTACTTTTACAATTGACGTAAACAGTTATTATTGAATAATCAGTGCAGTGGTCATTGTTTAATGGGTTATTAGTCAAGTTGCTCAGTGCAATTTGTCCACAGACATTCAGGATTTATTTGGTTATGCATGAATTAAAACTGATTATTAAATATTGACTGGTGGCCTCCAAACCTGTAACAACATGAACATGGATTTTTTTTAAAATTAGGTTTCTAGAAAATCAATCTTAACATAATTTTCAGTTTATTAGTTGGCWTAATTTTCATTGCTTAGTTAATTGGAATGAGGACTGGTTATGTGTCTTGCACTTACTTTAGAAGCAACAGAAAGTCATGTATTTATTTTCTTTCTTGCTTATGTTTGCACTCTTTTCAGCTGTTGTGCATATTGTTTGGTTTGCAACCCTCTGACCTGTCTGTGGTTTAGTGTTTAGCTGCCTCAGAATCACACTGTGTAATTTAATATTTGTCAAAGTGCAAAGTGTTTTCTCTCTTCAAAGCAGAGAGGGACTGTCTTAAATAATATTCTATTAGTTTGTTTAAAAGCTTGCTAGATTTTTTAATAGGTGCTTTGTTGGATGCCAGAAGAGTCTGAAAACTTTTRAATACTTTCTCCTGTGAATTGTATATTGATCTCATGAAAAGAGACTCATAATGGTCTAGGGCTGTAGTGATACACTAATCTCACGATACGATACACAATATTCTACTCACGATACGATATATATCACGATATTCAGCAAACGATACSATTCAATTTTCTTAACGATTTTAGAGAGACAGAGTGATTTTTGTGGCATTTTGTGACTGTTCCTTAGACTTGGATTGAATTAATATAACTCAAAAGTGATTTAAAGCACCAACTACACAATACCTGCTCTGATTGGACAGAGAGCTAGTCTACAGGTGGACAAAATTAATCAAAGTTGTGGTGAGAAAATTAGTTTCCTTTAATTGAAACAGTGCAAACTGTAGCTTACAAGCCTAAATAATATTTAGTTCCYTCCAGGTAACTTTGGAAAATAAAGAGCAAATGTTCCCAAATCTTCCAAGTAGGGGTCTCTGCAGAACGTGTTGTCCTGTGGGCGGAGACGGCCCAGATCATCATTGGCCGAGATCTTAATGTGGGTGGAGACAGCCCAGCTCGTGATTGGTCAGATTGACGGTGGGTATGAGGCTGGAAGCAGCGGGGAGTAGCTAGGTCAAGTCAGGCAGGAAGTAACATGTTTTATTTTTTTATTTTATTTTATTTTTTTAGATTAATTTTAGTCATAACTTGAGAAAGG